GGCTATGGGAGGGTGCCATCTGGGAAGTGGGTATATAGATGAATAAGATTGTTTGGGCTGTTCTGTGTGATATACACACAAAAAATCAACAAGTTTAAAAAGTGAGTCATATTTGAGGAGGAAGCATAAAAATTTATGTCATGTTAATTAGTAGAGGTGATAAACATTACCATTGAAATGTACCCAATGACTTTATAGACATACACAGGTGCCAAGGACCCAAGTGCAACCGATTATGACTAGTAATAAGCAGATACATACAGATTAGAGATGCATGCACCAACACTTAAGTGTTATTAGCAAAATGTCAAGAGCCCTGGAATGAATTTTTCTGTATGAAACTGTGTGTTTTGACAATGAAGTGGAGATCTTTTTTAAACGTTGGGACCTCATTTAATTTTATGTCTTACAGAGTTTATAATGAGTAAAAGACTATACAAGTGTAATAATTCATCTGTAAACCTAAAAATATACAGCCAATTTTGAAAGAGATGTACCCTAGCTCAGAAAATTGTTGTTATTGAGTATGTTAAAGTTGTAATGAAATGCTTCTTCTAAAAAATAAAAAAAATATTAAAAATGTTATCTATTGTTATCTTCTATGATATCAATTAATATTTTCATGTTCTAATATTCCTATACTATGTTATTTATTATATAATTATCTTTCATACGTGTATATATAATGACAGAAGAAAATTATGGGCATTATTCTTTATCAGACGTCTAAGATGGAGATGAAATTATCTTAAAGATATTTACAAATGTGGATTTTATCTGCTCCAGTGGGTCACAATAAGATTCACAGTGGACCCATAAAGTGTTTAAAAGAATTATATCAGCAAAACCACTTCTAGGGACATTACAATTGAAAAGAGGGTCAAGAGTCCATCCCCCCAAATTATTCACATGTAACAGGCTGAGAAGACTACACAGCTGTGGACACATGCCACCTTTTGTGGAAAAAGAAAGCTGACTTAGAGGGTAGAATCAATAACTCAGAAGAAGGAACCAAGTGCCATGCCAAGGGCCTGAATTCTGGTCAGAGAACTTCTAACACTTCCAGTTCAGCTTCAGAACTGCTATGAACCAGTGCATTTCACTTCCTGTCTTTCCTAGGCATGTGCACAACAGGTATCTTTTGCCTGTTTTACCGTACTTGTGGCTACAGACCATCTGCCTCCTTAGTTCATGGTCACTTGAAAACATATGGTAACAGTGCATGTATGTAGTGAATTATAAGATGGCAGTGCTGAATGGAGAGATATGACAATAGAAGCAGTTGCAGAAATAAAATTGAATTCAATGACTATGAGAAAGGACTCAAGAGATATTAAAATGGAGGATATTCTATTTATATAGAATGTAAATGACTTGGATTGGAATAAAACTTGGGTTTTTGTTGTTGTTTGTTTTGCAGTGCTGGAGCTTGAACCTAGATCTTTGCACTTGCTAGACAGGGACTCTTCTACTGAGATGCACCTCTAGATTTTTGACTGGGATATCTGGGTCCATAGCCATACCATCTACTAAAATACAAATAGTGAATACATAACTATGCACTAAGACTATGAATGTAAAGACTCTAGCACTTTCTCCACATATTAATGTCCATAAAGGAAGCTTTTGTTATTCCATTTAGCCTATGTCCTAAGTAATTGTTTTCCCCAAATTTGATTTAATTTTGTCCTTGATTTGTTTGTGAGTCATTATTGCCATTAAGCAAAGTGAGGCCCTGTGGGTTTGGAAGTGGTCATGGTAGTTCCTTCTAAATAAATGAGGGCCAATATGACAAGAGTTTGTATATCTTCAGATTCTTCTGACAGACCTAATGGGGGGCACACTTGCATCCCATCAGAGGTATTTGTTCATGTCCTTTGAAATCTTTAGTGTAGACAGGCCTTGTGACTTGCTCATAACCAATAGCAAAGGATATGGGCTGTCCTTGCCATAATTGGTTAACTTTGTATGACAGAGGTGATGAGGTGCCAGTTTTGTGATCATATATGTTACAGATTTTTAAATCAGAAGACTGGAATTAGCGAGGATTTCTCTTCCACACTGCTTTTAAAGAACTAAGCTGCCATGTCAGATATCCTATGGAGAGAGCCATCAGGAAACCATGAGGGTGTCTAGAAAATTGACATATACATGTAACCAACATCCAACAAGAACCTTAGTCCCGTATAAGAAGATGAATTCTGTCAACAACCTGAGGAAGCTTGTGAATTAACCATCTTTAAGTGAACTGTGTGAAGAAGATGCAGCCTGTGCTGACGCTGGGTGAGACCCCGAAACAGAGAACCTGGTTGCGTTGTGCTTGGGTTTCCCCTACAGAAACTGTGAGTTGGCAAATGTGTATTGCTTTATATCACTAGGTTTTTTTTTGCAAATTATTCACAGCAATAAAAACCTGCAGCAGCAACAACAACAAAACAATCAATACAAGAAATATACAACAGAAGCTACATATAAAAATTTGGATCAAATTTGGATCAAGGGGGTTAGAGAGACGGTTCAGTAGTTCAAAGCACCAGCTGCTCTTCCAGAGGATGTGGGTAGGGTTGACCTCTATAGGCACTGCATGACTTGGGTTCACTCACATACACACAGGCAGAATGCTCAAAACATAACACATATTTTAAAAATTAAAGAATGTTTTTTTATCAAATATAAGGACAGTAAACAGAGCTACCTTAAAATAAAACGAGCTTGACTGGTGAGCACTAAACTCTCCCTCACTGAATTGCTTAAGTGGCTAAATGTTAGTACCTGGTCTAACAGAGCGTGAGGGCTGCAGTAACCACCTCACAAGGCTACTTCCACATTCATTTAAAATTTTATTTTTAATAGACACATACTAATTGTATACATTCATATTTATGTGGAACAATGTAATATTTTGATTGATGCTTACATTTGCAGAGATTTAACCAAGCTAATTAACAATTCTACCAGTTCTTACCATTTTTCTTATGGTCAAAGCATTTCAAACCTACACTTTAAGTAATTTTGAAATACACAGTGCATTACTGCTTGTTGTGCTAATGTGGCCCTTCTGTGCACTAGGTCACTGAGGCTTAGCTCACTGCAACAGAAATATCCTTTCGTCTACATCTACCTTTTTCCCATCCACTCTCACCCAGCCACTGGTAATCACTGTTCTACTTTCTACTTTAAACATTTTTAGTTCCACATATATGATTTTAAATATTCATAAACTTAATTGGTCTGGGATAATAAACCAGTGGATGAACAGAAACAACCTCATTATACAGCAAAAGTTACTGCTAAACATAAATATTCGCAATCAATAGATTGCTCAACTAATCTACTTGCTTCTAACATTCAAAGAAAAACACAAAAATAAATATAGTCTTTATACATTACTTTTAGAAAACACGCCACATATGATAGCATACACCTGTAATCTTAGTAGAAACAGAAGAATTTACAATAGTTCAAAATTAGCTTGGTGCTCATAGTGAGTCCCAAGTCAGCCAGGGCAATATAATAAGATCCTATCCCTAAAGCTCCCCAAGACTAAAATCAAAACAAAACAAATGAAAAAAAAATTAAAGGTACAATATGACAATATTCTGGCTGAAGAATAATTTTCTTGCATGGCTTTATGTTTTCAATAATTCTAAGAAATCTTTAACTATACCTATGTATTCTAGGGTCAGAGAGAGGTAAATCATTTTAAAATTATCAAATGAAAAGGCAAGTCATGGGCTGGTGAGATGGCTCAGTGGTTAAGAGCACTGACTGCCCTTCCAGAGGACCTGGGTTCAGTTCCCAACACCCATATAGTGGCTAACAGCCATCTGTAACTTCAGTTTCAGAGGATCTGACACCCTCTTCTGACCTCCAAAGACATTGCATACATATGGTACACTTACATACATGCAAGCAAACCACTCGAACACATAAAATAAAAATAAATAAATCAAAAAGACAAACCAGATACTTTGATAAGATATCCATGAATCATTCTAATAAGAAATTTATATTCAAAGTATATTAAAAATCTTAAATGTGAACAATAAGACACCCTTTTAAAATGTGGTAAAGGTTTTGATCTTTTTCTTTCTTCTTTTCTATTTTTTTTTTTTTTTTGAGACAGGTCATCCCTGTTTCTCCCAGCTGGCCTAGAACTTGGTGCATAGACCAGGCTGCATTGATCAAACAGAGATCTGCCTGCCTCTGCCTCCTGGGTGCTGGGATTAAAAATGTATGCCATCATCCCCAATATAAATAGAACTTTAATCAAGGAATATCTTGGACTAGCTCATAAGTACATGGAAATACACTTAACCTCATTAGTCATTAGGGAAAAGTAAATGAAAGCCACAGTTAGATCCCATCTCTGTTGTATTTAGGTACATGTCTGTGAAGCATTTTCTTAATTGCTGATTGATTAGGAGGGCCGAGCCCACTGTGAGCAGTGTCATCCCTGGGCAGGTGGACCTGAGTTGTATAAGAAAAGTAGTTGAGCAAGCCAGAGGAAGCATTCCTCCACGGTCTTTGCTTCAGTGCCTGCCTCTAGGTCCCTGCCTCAGTGATGGATTGTGACCTGGAAGTTGTAAGCTGAAATAAACCTTTTCCCACATGCTTTAGTACCACCATTTTAATACAATGATCTACTAGTTGAAGTATCCTTATCCATTAAAGTATGAAGTACTCTTTTCCATTAAAGCAGATCCTTAATCATTGCTACAACATAATTTTGATATTGGAATTTCTGCACTTAAATATTTATAACAGTATCTGGCTTAGGCATCTCATTAAAGCTGGCATCTTTCCTTCTAGCCTGGTTTGTTAAAATGAGAGGCATTCATAGCATGTGTCTGCAATTAATAATCTATACTTTGACCAACTACATCTATGCACAGAACACACCCATATTTTAAAGAACAAAGACTCTAAAAGTCGCTAAAATGCACACTCGACTTTGGTAACAGGGGATACCTTTTATATCTAGCATTGCCATCATGTACCTGGAATGTGATGGGCCTCTTTCCTGGGAAGTCTGGGAGGATAGGCTTCCATCAAAGGAGTTTCCTTGGTGGCAGCCTGAAATGGTGGCCTTGGGTGAGACTGAATCAGACTGGAACGTTTCACAGACCACCTGGAGTCCCTTGTGAAAGTAAGACAGTGGATTAGTTTCTGTCCCCTCATTAGTATATCTCTAGAATTACCTTCTTGATTGTGTACAGAATTACATATATTAAGGGTTTTATTTTTAGCATAACTAACCATAATGCTATAGATCAAGAAATTTTGCCTTTGTCTAGAAGGGAATAGAAACAGAATACTAGAAAATACATATGTCATGCCAAGCATTAGGATGGAGTACTTATATAAATTTTATTTCATTTTTCCCTTCATTTTTTTCTTTTCCACCTCTGTGTCCAGCATCTGCAGGAGAGTTAACCCAAGAATTCATCACATATGTCAGCACTGAGCACAGCAGAAGTGTGAGGCTAAGCCTGGAGCCAGCATAGCAAAAGGCTATAAAATTGAGTTGGTGCCAGAGAATGGAAGGTTCAAGGTTTTCCATCATTCATTGGAGGAGAGGTATGACACATTTTTCAGATGGTCATAATGACTTTTACTCTTTTTGTAAGTATACATTCAACAGCTTTTTACCAAATAACTCATTTTAGTTACATTTAGCTGATAAATGCAATTCTGCTCAGATAATGGACAATATTTTTCTGTAAGTATTGCAGATTAATTTCTTTACTCAATGATAAAGATCCTCAGAAGTCTACCACAGCAGTTTAGCTCCTACACTTTCTCTTTTCATACACAAATAAAACGTGAATCAATAACAGATTATAGGAAACAAATATGATTAGAAATCTCATGAAACAAGTCTTCTGAAATTATCAAAGAATCATTTAGCATGAGTATATTGTATGTGCCTCATGAGAGATACTTAGGTAAATTAAAACAAGTTAGATGACTGGGGATATGGCTGAGTAACTCACTGATAGAGCACTCCACTTGTCTTGCATGCATGAATACCTGGGCTCAACCCCAGCCCCACTAAAGCAACAACAACCATCAGAGGAACTTGAACTTTGAATTCAAGAGCTTACAGTTAAAGACTGGTGAATATACATTAGAACAGCATGTTGACTCAAACTAGAGTGAAAACCACAAATAGCCACATAACCAATATTAAAAATAGTAAATCATGGCTGAGGAGATAACTCAGTCAGTAAAATGCTTGCCTTGCAAGCATGAGACTTGGGTTCCATCCCCAGGACCCATATAAGATTGCCAGGCATGATAGCATGTTTGTAATCCCAGTGCTGGGGAAGCAGAAACAGGCAGATCCCTGAAGCATCCTGGCCAGAGAGAACTCCAGACCTGTATGAAATCCTGTCTCAGAAAAAAAAAGGTGGATGGCACTTAAAGAACACTACTTGAGGTTGTCCTCTGAACCACACACACACACACACACACGTATACATTTGCACGCATACCTGCACACCCACATAAACAGGCACACACATACACATATGCAAAAATAGTAAAATGGGAAATTGCTTTAATAATATATCTAAACAACTGTCATTTCAATATACACTTAATATAAAAATTTTAGTAAGATGGTCACTTTTTCATACAATATTTTCAAAGCGTGCTTAATACTCTCAACCCACTATAGCTATATTTCAAGAGTTTGGTAGCCACATGGGCCTAAGAGCTACCCTGTTGGACAATAAATGGCATAATATGCCTAACATAATTAGACAAGAGTTCCTAGGGAACTGAGAACTCCACTGCTTCTTTTCTTTTTCTTTTTTTTTTTTTCAATATTGGGAATTGAACGTAGGGCCTTGCATAAGTGCTTTATCCCTAAGCTAGAACTCCTAGACCTTTATTTTCAGTTTGTTTGTTTTTTCTGAGACAGGGTCTCAGGTTAGCCTTGAACTCATGCAATAGCCCAAGCAGTTCTGAAACTTACAATCCACCTGCCTCAGTGTCCTGAGCAGCTGGGATTACAAACTTGCACCCACTACTGTTATTAAAAGACTACAAGTTAGACAAGAAGAAAGGAAGACAAAGTGCATCCCAGATAGTAGGAGCAGTCTGAACAAAGATTCAGAGGTTAAGGTGAGTGGATCTGAATGCTGGGGGTGACAACATTTAATTAACTAAGAACCATACAGTCGTTTAGGAAAGATGGTGCCATGGTGAAAGCACAAATTACCAGAAGAGGAGTTTGTCTTCAAGTGACGTTCAAGCATCCTCTACATATTACTGAAGAGGGGCTATGCTGAAAGGAATAGTATCTTGCACATACTAGCTTTGGTAGCATGAGTTATTAGATAAAGGGTGCATTAGGAAGACTAGCCAGGAATTATTAAGTAGTATATATGTCTAAGCCAGAAAAGCTTTAAAGGCAAAAATTTCAATTACGTGAGTCAATCTGTAGTCAAGTGTTGTGGTCCTAGATTTAGAGTATAGAAGTGGTCAGAGGAAACAGAGTGTATTTGAGCAACACATGAAAAAGAAAACAAGGTGATTTGCCAAGAAACCAAAATGTAAGATCCCAGCAGAGCAAATTATGAGCTTTACATAGTCCATTGCATTCAAGATGCCATCACTTGTAAGACATGCCATTTTTTTTGTACATTAAGGAAAAAAATGTTAATTAAATTAGGACAGTCAACTTATCAGTGAGACCTTTTAATTATACATGTATTAAAAGAGCTATTTTGGCTTACCCAGGGATAGTTTTGATTATACATCCATCTTATGTATATGTAAAAGGAGGGTATAAGTGAAATAAATTGGTGTAGTCTTCTTAAGATTTCTTCATATTTAGAATGTTCAACTTGGAATTGATATGTGAGGTTTTCCAAGGAATAACATTACTTTCTCCAACATTCTTAGTCACTGACCCTGATACTACGAATTTTGACACTTCACGTGCTGTATGAGAATGATAGTGATGTTGAGACTGATCCCAGGCAAGGAGATTGTAAGTGACCAAAGATGATTGAGCACACTCCATTTCAAAGATGCTAAATGTGAAAAATTCCACCTTAAATAAGGCGTATAGTTCATAGTGCAAGTAACTGCTCAGAAAATGATAGCCATGCCAGGATTCTAGTCTCCAGCTTGAAGGGCGGCTTGGAAAATAATGTTATTCCTGACAGTGACATGTCAATTGGAAAGAGGACTTGGTTTTGATGGAAAGCATCATTTTCTTTGCATACACTGAATTCAAAGTATAGATCAAACAGCACTTTATTCAATGTGAGAGAGTAATGTCAACCAATATGTACTGTATGCTGATGGAGCTATTGAGATAAAACACTACTTACTACATACTAATCACTGAGATAAAACACTCATCACACACTGCCTTGCTTCAGCATCTCTACATTTTTGGAAGATGCATAAAATTAATTTTCATACTTGACTGAAAGAAAACCTGGCTGAAAAACTACATGTCAGGAAGGAGGAGACGGCTTTGCCCTAGGTGGTAGGATTCTAAACCTGAAGTCTAACCCTTCCCATTGTGCTCTCTCAAAGAACTCCTCCCTTGACCCCTTCTCAAGATTGTAACAAACTAACCTCTCCTTGCTGTCCTGGGTCTGGATTTGGTGATTCACAGGTCTGACTTCTATTGTTGATAGGAGAACTTCTCTTAGCTGCAATGATGAAGGAAAATCCATCATAAACTGCATAAGAGTCTAAGATCATTTTGTCTCATAAATTCACTCCATTTTCAAATAAAAACTCATTTTCTAGAGCCTGAAATGGTGGCACATGCCTTTAATCTCAGCACTCAGGAGGCAGAGGCAGGCACATCTCTTTGAGTTTGAGGCCAGCCTGGGCTACAGGGAGACCCTGTCTCAAAAAGACCAACCCCCCACATTTTCTAATACTTTTATTATCTTGAAAAAGACACTGACTCACAAGTGGTGTAAACAATAATCAAATAACTGATAAAAATCCAGCATTTCTAATTTTTCAAGGTACATTTTATCTCTTCATTCTAACTTACTAAGTTCAGGTGTTTAGAAGTTGGCAATATTAATTTCTTATATTTCAGGTCCTCACTATATACCAAGTCATGTTCTAAGCATTTGACATGCATTAACTGATTTAACCCTATTTCTAACCCTGTATTATTGCTATATTATTATATTGATTTCACAGATGAAAAAGCTCAAGTAACGGCATTTAACTTGCTCAGGGACATTCGGCACTTGCAGGAAGATTTCAGGCCACTCTGACATCAGCATCTATCTTTATTATTACTATTATTATTATTTTATGTGTATGAGTATATTGCCTGTATGTAAGTGCACCCATGTTGTACAAAACCCACAGAGGTCAAAAGAGGACATTTAATCTCCAGAATCTGGAGTTACACACAGTTGTTAGGTACTGTGTGGGTGCTAGGAACCAAACTTGGCTCCTCTGCAAGATCAGCCAATGCTCCCAATTACTGAACCATCTCTCCAGACCCAGCATCTGTGATTTAACCATCATGTAAGGCTGATCCTGTGGTAAGACTCAAGTAGGTTACATCTTTACTTTAGGTGCAGGAACACCACAGGGAACTGTGGTAGCAGTGCTTTTCTTGACTGACCACTAAGCGAGTGCTGAGAAAACCAAGTTATTGCCAAGGTCAACTTCTGGACTTGCTCTTTGTAGTCATCTTGTCTAGGCTGTGTCTGAATCCCCAGCCAGTGGATGCTAGGCACCACTTCAACTCTATAGGCATGAGGTACAGGAGAAAGAAATCAACCCTGAGCATCTTTCAGAAGCAAAAAGAGTGAGGTGGATAGCCCAAGGGCTTTCATGGAGAGTCACAGCTTCTTAGTAGTTTTTATAAGTGTATTAAATGATTATATATTAATCAAGATATGGAGCTGGAGCTGTAACTCAGTGGTAGAGTACTTATGTTTGAGCCTCAGGATGGGCTCAGACCTCCAACCTTGAAGTTACTGCTCCATATGCATAGGAAAATTACAACAAGACTTCAAAATATTAAAAATTAAATCTCTTTAACCAAGCTCTTATAAAAGTATGTCATTTTGCTAATAATTTGTTACATCAATGCATTTCTATTATTTTTATTGTTTCTAGTTTTAAAAATACCATCTTCCGTTTGTTCTATATCCTCTCTCCAGTTGTTTGAATCCAAAGTAATTAACCTCATTCCATACATAGACTCTGAAGCAAATTCCTGTTTATGATACTTTTACTTATTGAGTTCCTTGATATTTGAAACTGTGACAGTCACTCTTGACTTTATCTTTAAACAGTTAATATTTTATATACATAAAAATGTGGGATTCATCTACTTTTTGCTATATGAAAAATTCATTTTCCTTTTGAATGAATCTATACATCATGATAAATAACTTATCAAATATATGACATAATAAGGGACAGGATGGTTATACCAATTTCTTAACACATCAGGCACTTGTAAAGTTTTGTTAGGTTATAAAGGAAGAAGAATGTAAGAACTTGTTTGTAATTTCCTTCCATTTATAGAGTCCTTTTACATACTCAGTCCTCCGCTGTCTGCCCCCAGACCTTACAAACTAAGCAAAAAATATCTATAGGTATGTGCATACATATGATTAAATGCTTTTGTAGATTTTTTTGTATTTTTTTCTTTTCAAATTCTACCAGTGATGCTAGAAATAGGGTTGAGGATAGGAGAATGAAATGTATTAAGCAGTTACTCTGAAACATATTTCATATGCGTTCTCATTTACACTTACTAAAAAGCCCTATAATTTAGCATTATCATCTCTATTTCACATTAATAATAAATATTCTGGAGTTAAGTTGCATACATAACAAGAGATAGACTTGGATGGAAGCATGAGCCTACTGTGCACTTTTGAATGTATCATGCTGTGCCCATTCTGTGATACAGTCCAACCACAGAGTTATCTCAGCACACAATTCCAGTTCCAGAAATGAAATGTTTTGGTAGCAATAGAACATTGTGATGAGATCTCTAAAGATCTAAGGATCCTGTTCTTTATCTATCATAATGATGATGAAATAATAACTATAATAATAGCTATTGCTTACTAATATGTGGCAGGCATTATTCTAAGCTGATATATATTTTCTCATAATTATTATATAAGCACTATTAATATGATATTTTAATCGCACTTTACAGGTGAGAAAACAAAAGCACAGGAGACTTAATGATCTAATCATTTAAGTCCCATAAGTAAAAAGCATGTGTCCCATGTGAATAAGCCTCATACCTAGGTCACCTAGATAAACTCCAGAGAGATTTGCTTTTTCTTGGCCACTTAAAGGCAAATCATCCTACCACCTTCACCCCTACATGTAAGGGAACCTACTAATGTTGCCCACTGGGCATCAGAGTCACAAACCTGTAATGATATTCCTGATGGGTTTCACCAGAGCAGTAAAACCAGAGACTTCAGGCTGTCTGTGCTCCCACATAGGCTGCCATATGACCAGCCCACTGGCCAATCGGAAGGTGAGATCAGATTCCTGGGGATAGAGAAGATCTGTGTTCAGCAATTTGCTTGGATCAGGGAATGCATCATTGTCACCAGACCATTTTCAGAGTGACTCGATCTGCAACTCAGATGAATGTTTCTAGGGCAAACCAATGATCTTATGTTATCACTGCAGTCAGGATGGAAATTACAGTGACCTGCTTTAGGCAAAATGAGCAATTAATAAAAATGTTGTTTTGGGAAAAGCATGGAACACATGAACTACTGTTTTTGTTTGCAGTGATCCAGATCTGTTTATGACTAGAGTCTGGACAGCTCTCTTCACTCTTGGTCACAGTACTATTCCTCTTAATGATGTAACTGTCTTTATTTTTCTATCAAAATGCAATATCCTCAGGGGTTGGGTATTCTGACTTTCTATTCTTTGGTGCATCTCTCTTTCTTGTATATCACAGAATCAGATAAATGTATTTTGACCGTTCATATTAATTTATATTGTAATATTCTCTTAATAGTCCTTAATTCCTTGAAGGTAAGTGATAGGTCAAGAATCCCCCTTCCCTACAGCTCCCAGCATTGTTACAGCATTAATGCAGATTAGGAATTGTGTGTACAATAGATATTCAATAAGTATTTGCTATCTGGCTTATTTTTAATAAATTTATGTATTATTTTTATTTTATGTGTATGAGTGTATTGCTTGCAAGTATGTAAATGTACCTGTGATGTGCAATGCCCACGGTCAGAAGAGGACATCAGATCCCCAGGAACTGGAGTTACAGACGGTTGTTAGCCACCATGTGGGTGCTAGGAACTGAGCATAGGTCCTCTGCAAAAACAGCCAGTGCCCTTAATCTCTGAGCCATCTCTCCAGCTCCAAGTTTGACTGATTTTATGACCTATGCATGTTTATTTATAATTAAAAATTTCTTCCAGAAACACATTCTTTGCTTTGTGAGTACATTATTTTGAGAGGATTAATTATTTAACATGCAACCTTATACCATAGAAGTTCAAACACATGTCATAAGATTGCATCTTAATCATCAGCTCATCAAAACACAGGGAACATGGAAGCAGGAAATGTGAATACAGATTAATGAACACATCTGAGACCCAGGAATTCACTTAGGACAGTGGTTTGCAATCCTGACTTACATTATTACAACCCTCTTTCCCTCTAGGGAGCTTTTAAAATTCAGGAGGCCCAGGTTTCACTTCCATTCTCTACTCAGACACATTAAATTAAAACTTCTGTGAGGTTTTCTAAAGCTCCCCAGGGAGCTATAGCTGAAAACCACTGGGTTAGAAGGTAAGCAAGCACCAAGAACTGGGAAAATAGAAGAAAAGTGATTCGATAAATGGCAAATTCAAATTCACTGACTGTTAAGGAGTCTTGAGTTTAAATAGTGTTGTAAAATCCCTAGATAAGCTCACCTTGCTAGACACTTGGTGTCCTGGTATCATTTCTGTTGCTCTGATGAATACCCTGACCAAACGCAACTTGGGGGAGGAAAAGGTTAGAGTCCATTACTAAGGGGAAGTCAAGGCAGGAAACTGAAGCAGTTGGTCACATCACTTCCACAGCCAAAAGCAGAGAAAATAAACACATCCTTGCTGCTTGCTTTCTCCCATCTTACAAAGCTCAGAACCCCTGATGGTACCCATAGTGGGATGGGTCTTTCTACATCAATTAACAATCAAGACAATCTCCCACAGCCATGCCCACAAGCCAACCTGATCTAGGAAATTCTGTAATTGAGAATTTCTTCTCAAATGATTCTAGGTTGTGGCAAATTGACATTTAACAAGACCATTTGGTCTTCTATAAAGAAGATTTGGTCTTCTAGCAGATTTCTCTGAATTGAAACATTCTCTCAAGGAGAGAGGGAGAGACTCATGAGACTCCAAGCAAAACTCAGTATGTCTAGGAAAGTAGAAACTTGGGAGTTTTTGGAAGGTCCCTCTCCAGCTTTATAGAAGCATTGGTAAGCAACTGCTAGAGGAGGAAACTGACAATCTGAGCTACTGAGATGAGATTTCTTGGACCTGTAATCTGCCTTCAAGTTGTGCAGAGACCTTGAGCTCCCAGGTTGCAGCTTTCATGAGCTGTCACCCATGTTGGGGTAGGCGTTTAGGTGATGAAGTTGCTTTTGAGTCATCATTGCTCCTGAAAGTAAGCCCTCAATCACACTCCTGTAAAACTCATTAGTTCATTAAGTTGGACTTTGGTGTAATTGCTACTTTGGGTTCTCTTTTTGTGGTAAGCAGATGTGTTATATCTCCTCAGGAAAAGCCTCACATACAGCAGGGTCTTGGCTCCATTAGCAAAAGAGCCACAGTGGTGCCCACAATGGAAAAGCCTCTATGATTACTTGTGGAATATGAGGACAGCTCACAAATCACTTGGCCAGATTCATTCTGCACTCATTTTTATGTACAATATTTTTATGTACGGTATTTTTATGTATAGTATTTTTATGTACAGTATGTATTGTATACATGGCTATTCAGCTTCCATGCAGAGAACACACAGAAAATGAAGCATACAAAAATCTTTGCTCATAGTTGAATGCAGTAAAGCAGGTAGGGATGTGCCAGGCAAAGTGTTGACTTCTTAGATAAAAAGGTCAGGGAGAGTGCAACGAGTACAGATCTAAGGGAAATGATTGCGTTTCCTTGTGGTTATCTCGAAAGAAAGTGTTCCAAGAAAGGGATCAGCAGTGAAGAAGGTCCTAAGTTTACCTAGTGTGTTGAGAATCAAACAGTGAACTGTGTGCCTAGTCAAAAGAATGAGAGTGAGGGAAAACACAATATATAGTAAAGACTCCATGAGGACGTGAGAAAGAATGGGAACCATGGAGAATTTGGAGTGACAAAGGGTGTGTGTTTAAATAAGTTCAATCTGGCCAATGAGAAGAGTTTGAGAAAGGACATATTTGGAATAAGAGGCAACTTGTCAAGTTATTGTTATTGCCTATGATCAGACTGGGATGCTAGCAGAGAGCAAGATCAGAATCTGGATGCAGTTTAGAGATATAGTTACAGAATTTGCTCATTGATTGGAAACAGAATATAAAAAAGTTGCCAAGGACTTTGGCTTTGCCATTAATAAAGAAGAGCAGGATGAAATGGAGCACATAATGGGATTTTGGAAGCATGTCATGTTAAGACTGAGATGCTGTTTGATATTCAGCAACAGATAATTAAATAAGCAGCTAGGCAGGTCTAAAGGTTAGGGGAGAGCAACCCAAATCCCCTTGAAAGGAACATTGGCAAGTGGGCACAGTATTCTGCATACAGAGAGCTATCATTATGGTGCACTGCATACAGAAGATTACCACGTAAATAATATTGATCAGATTTGTCTTCAGAAATGCAGGAAGCCAAATCTCAGTTGAGATGGTTTTGATAATTTCTTAGTTTCAGACTTAACCTTTTTTTTCCATATTTCTCTTACATAATCTCAACACAAGCAAGATTCTAGCCAGGCATTATGGTGCACACCTGTAATCCTAGCTGTTGGGCAGTGGAGGCAGGAGAGTCAGGAGTTCAAGGTCATCCTGGGCTACATATTAAGGTGAGGCCAGCCTACTCTACCTGAGTCTCAAAAACTAATAATGATAATAATTACTAATAATAATGAGGAGGAAGAAAAAGTAATTTAGAAATCCCAGTGGAAATTGCAACTGAAAGTACTCGACTCTTTTACTAACATCTTTGTCTTTAACATCCAGTATATCAGTGTGGCACTCAGCACTTACTGACAGTTACTGTCATCATTTTGTTTTGCTTACTTATTCCCAAATAGACAAGAGGTATAATTTCTGAAGGCAAGTTAGTTCCTTTCCTGAATACTTCCTCTTGACCATCAATCATTGCTTAAATGAAAATATTTGTACTTTTCCAGAAAATGCCAACTAAATTCAACCATTCCTTATTTTTTACACCTGCAACACCTACAGCTTCCACTTATGTTATTGTTTTCATTTTAATTCTTAAGCTGGAAGAATGCAGAAGCCCTGACACCCTAATTTCTCTCCTAGAGGCTCCTTCAATGAGGTTCTCTGTGTGCTGTGTATGCACACACAATCAGAAATTTGGTACCTGGAGAAGACACATTTTTATCATTCAAATAGTTGAGGGAAAGCAGACTTAAAGGTTCCTGAGGAATAAACAGGTGGAAACACTGGAGAATCTGTATTTCCACCTTTGGGGGCTTTTTTTTTGTTTCCAATGAGGTTCTGAGCCCATGAAATCATGAAGCAATTGTAAATGTATCAATGGGTCATTTAGAGAGATTTAACTGAGCAATTATCATGTTAAAGTTGTACACTTCACACATGATTTTTCTCAATTCTCCTTGCAGACTCGCATTTTACTTTATCTCCTGCTGTTTCTTCAGCACATTCAGTCATGCTTTAGTACACAGCAGACACCTAAAAAACATTCCTTCAAGAAATAAGTGAATATTGTAACATCATTACAATACTTGCACCACATTTTAAAAGACTTCTTAATTTAAGAAATATATATATCATTTTCATTGATAAAATTTAGTATAACATTGATGACATATTTGACAGCCTACTCATATTAATGATTTTAGGTGAAATATTTGAGTGAATTATAAACTAAAACTATAGAAAATAGGTACTGAATAATATTCTCTCTTAAAAATGAATAACAGTTATTTTCAAATTAATTTAATAAATATTAATTACTCTTACACAGGGATAATATATTAGTTTTCATAGATGGAACTATAATTCCAATCTTCAAACAATTCAGAAGCTAGCAAGAGAGAGACACTTATAAAGAGATGACAATAAACAGCTAATCGGAACAATAAAGATGGTCCTGCAATATTACAGAAATAAGGGATGAGTAGGGCCAGGTCTTTAGTGAGGTCTAAAGGAGAAATAGGAGTTTCATAGGCAGAGGGACCGAGTATGGAGGCATTATAGGCTGTGGGACCTGCATCCTTTAGAAGAAAACCCATGTTATATTCCTGGGGAAGCTGCAAACATCTACAGCTCTTGGACAGGACACACCATGTCCTATGTACACCAGTCCTATGACTTTTACCCTATGCATGAAAACAAATCAAACGTTATTCTAATAATGTTTGATACAGTCAGATATACTTTATATCAATCATTTTGACTTTGAAATTGGATTTTATGAGACAAGTCAAAAAATTATGAATCCTGCTAGAAGTAAAAAAAAGTAAGAGATGATAAAAAGCTTTAGGTTTAAGTAGTAAATAGAAATGAAGATGTGATAGATTTGAGAAATATTTAGGAGATAAAATGGGTGGTACTCTGTGATCTGTTGGATGTTTGATAGGAATGAAGGAGGGAGCAAAGGTAGTTTGCATTTGTGTTAATGATATGAAATACAGAGCAGAGAGACAAATGCTCACCCCAGAGAAAAACAGAAATACCCGAGGATCATCTACTTGAGCAGTAAGTTGAAAATTTGATCTGAAGCCAAGAGAGAATTTGGTTTGGGCAGGTAGAACTAGGAGACCTCACCTCAGCTTCTAGGTCACAAATGCTATTAGACTCCAGGAGGGAACCTTCAAGGAAAGAGATGTACAACAACAGGAGTGTGAGGAGACTCAGTGGCATGTGGTGCCCATCAGAGGAACAGAACTTGCAAGAACAGGGCACAGTGGTAGTTTCAAATATGGTTGTTTAATGAAATGAAGATTGCAAATTAAGATCATGCTCAAAATCTCATCAGTTATTTATGGAAAAAACTTTTCTTCAATGGAAAAGTTCCAGCACTGGAGCTTAAGGAAACTTTATAGAGCGTTAATGCTTCTCTGTGTTTTAGGTTGAACACTGAAACTTGTTTCATCCCCACAATACCCCAAAATTCATTCTTATGTCCAGTTTATACTTGAGAAAACTGAAACTTAATGAAATGAATTATTCAATGTCATATAAGGAGTTGGCAGGCACCAAACTCAAAATGCAGATGTATTTGTTTTCAAAGCATGAACTCCCAGTCATGTCTTTCTAACAAAATTATAGCCATTCTGAACACATCTATTTTTCCACACTTTTCCAATTAAAACGCTATTTGTTGACACATGGACATCTCTGTGAGCTGTTTTTAGGGAAACATTTCCTTTGCCCTCTCCATTTTTAAGTACTATGTACCAGATAATGGCTATTTTTAGCACTTGGATCAGCTCCTGGGAACAACTTGGGTTTCCTCAGTAAGTCAGTCCCAAAATATTGAGAGTTGTACATTCATCGGGACACCAGAAGTACAACAGTAACCCCAGGAAACAGTATCTTTTCATTTAGAACCTCTATGCAAGAGAGAGTAATGGGCAGTAAAGATGCTTGCAAGCACACATAAAAATTCCTGGTAGTGACGGGTGGTAAGAAGGAAAAAATGCAGCGTGAGCTCCTAGTGGCATAGAAGTAGTCAGGGAAGAACTTTCTTATATGTTGACATCTGACAGTGAGTAAAGTGATGTGGTCACCCGAAAATGTGAAAGTAGAGGGCAGGAGGAGTGCTTCAGTATGAGAAAAACCCAGCTCAAGGACCAGAAAAAAAAAATGAGCTTCTGGAGTTTGAGGATGAACCTCCAGTAACCCAGAAGGCTAGTGAACATGAAGAGAACTGAGGCTGGAGAGTGAGAATGGGCCAGGCCTACAGGTCTTCAGAAGCAGGGTGAGACGAGCACTGTCAAAGAAATGCTTTCCATTCAGTGTACTCTCATTAAAGACTTTTAAAATGGAAAGTTAAATCTTTTAGAACAACAGTTTGATTGAAATATGTTTAATGGGTAACGTTAGCACATATGCTGCATTTTGGAAACTCACGTCGTTCCAGATCCATTCCCACTACAGATGGGGTAAAGCCAATAGAATTTTCTTTAAAAATAAAAACAAAACTCAAATGGATACAAAGATGTCCTAGGCTACCCCCTCATAATGGCTGTTAGTGGCCCTAACCACCTTCACATGTACACTGCTGACTGGTATTTCTATTCACTAGGGTTATAGTGTTGAAGAACAGCTAAACACATGAATTACTTCTTATCCCCTATCTTGGCACAAATGGAATATGATATACACGTTCACACATATTCAACAGTGTTAGAGGTATATATACGTGACTTAATGCAAATGAGGGCATTATGCAGATGAGGCAACATGACATCATGAGACATGAGTGTAGAAAGTGGTAGCATATCCACCATGGCAGCCTAATCCCGTGCTTTCTAGTTAATGCTCTTACAAATGTTTTTCCATGAAATTGTCCATGGAAACTTTACCTAGCTGTCAAAAAATCTTAGCACATACAAATTTAAAACTTCTGGTCCAGACCCTGTATTAAAATAAAGGTAGTTACAAAAGGCTACAGAAATCCAGAGGAACTAGTAACTGTGCCTACATGGAGAAAATCAGAGAAAAAGCTTCATGGAAATGATGACACTGGAGTTGGGGTTTGAAAGGGCCATGAGAGAAAGAAAGGAGAGGATAGAGGACAGAGTGGATGGCAAGAACGCATTTGGGGAAGGGCTCTGACAGCTCCCAGAACTGATCATCAGGTGACCAGTAGACACTGACACTTGATGATTCAACAAAAGAATTTAAGCCCTAGGTCATGCTTGAACTTAGACAGTCTGTCTTAAGATAGAGCACTGTCTTAAGATATAAGAAAATACACTGAAGATTTTTTAGTAGATAAAAGATATTTGGAGATTGATGTCTTCCCACTGCCTTGGTTTTTTGAGGCAGGTCTTCCTGTAGTCCAAGCTTCCAGAAACTGATTACGTGCACCAAACTAGCAGCCTCCATCTCACAGAGATCCACCTGCTTCTACCTCCTGAGTGTTAGGATTAAAGGTATGTGCCACCACATCAGCTTGAGATTTGTGTTTTTAAAGTAAGGTTCATTTAGTGTAAAACTAAAAGCCTCTATGCTGCAATAAGGTCATTCAAAAACAGACAAACATGGGGATATCCTTTGAAACCCACCCTCACTTTATCTCCATCCTGTCCCATCCCATAGCTAGTACTAGCTTACTGCTTACCTTGATCCTATGCACCAGAGGAGCAAACAGAAACACAAAGAGCTCCACCGTAGCCATGGAGTTCTGAAAGATCTTCCTTCGGTTGTTTTCTTCCTCGTCATTGGAGCTGCTTCGGCAAGGCTGCCCTGGAGAACCCTGGTTTTCAATCTGGTGGATAAAAGCACTGCTGCTGCCACCCCAGCTGGAGCCTCGGTCTGTACCCCCAAACTGCTCACTGTTGCAGTCTTGGGGAGCCTCTAGGAGCATCCAGTGCAGGGTATGAAGGAGTTTTGTCTCAGCAACACCCAGCTTATCCTGGTGGCCTGTTTGAGACAACCACATAGCCAGGTAAAGGTAAACTCTGAGACAAGAACAAAGGTTCTTTCCCTTTGGTTGGGAAGAACGTTAATATTTTTCTCTATGGTCCAGTTTTGCAGGAGAAACTATGCTTCTAAAAACTGGTACTTATAAAGCTCATTGCTATTAGAACAGTCTTTCTTTTGGGTAAAATCTCTTCGGAAAGCTATGTTATCCTCTCTCATCAGCCAGATTCCTAAACATGTTTGCAAACAGGTCTCATCATCGTGAAAAGCATGGGCTGTGAAGATAAATGCTGTTCTGTTTTAGATCTGAATTGGAATGATCCCTGTAATCCTGGAACAGAGACCCACATGAAGGGGAAGCATGAGATGAAGGGGGTGTACTTAACATAGGATGCAGGGCTAGGACGTATTGCTGGATGAGAAAGGTGATTTTCAAGATAATCTTTGTGTACACATAAGCATAGTGCTACAAATCTGGGGAAATGTCTGAGGAGAATATGCCAGGTTCATGCACACAGTTGCAGTAGGAGTTGGAAGGGGAACTAGGAAATCCCTGGCTGGGACTCATCTTAGGCAGGTGAGAATCTTTAGCCTAGTTTACATTCTGTTAATGTTTAAGAGGAAAGTACATTCACATACAGCTTATAAAGTTAAAAAGTTAAAAGCAAGGATACTTGTTCCCTCCTTTGTAAAATGGAACCATGAAGGTACTGATGGGAAGCAAATCCTGTGAGAACTCAGTAACATAATGCCTGGGACAATCATAACTTCTCAGCACATGTTTTTATGCATGTTGAACACAACGGAGAACAGAATGCCAGAAGTAAGTGGCAGCACCCACCTAGTTTGTTCCTGTTTGATAGCAGGGTTGCGGTGCAGTGGAGAACATGAGGTAGGGCAGCTTGTACCAGCTCCCACCTGGAAATACTCTGGATGGCTTCAGAGAGGGCTGGGGAGAGGCCATGCAGTTTGTTTTCCACCAACACGCGTTCAAAGGACTATAGATTTAAAGTTTTAGGAAGCATACAAAATAAAGAACAGGAGACTGTTAAAAACTGATTAAATTAAAGCACTATATATCCTAAAAGATACAAATCACAGGGCTAAATTTTTTAGGGGGCACTTGTATTGTATGTCAAGTATATGCTGACCTGGGGTGGATCAGTAATAATTCACTGTTAACTGCCCAATTGTAGGCTTTGGAAGTCAAGCATACTGTTTGAGTTCTGAAATGATCTGTATTTCTGTTAAAATAAGCTTTTTCTCATAGCAACACATTCACTGTCAGGAGACTTTTGAATGTAATATTTTATAAAAATGTTGCTGAGTCATGCAAAGAGGCTGTCACAACTCTAGACAATGTGTTTCATGAAAGTGTCTTGAAAGACAGAATTTATGCATTCAACAAGTATTAGCTAAGACACAACTCTTTTAAGAAATCTGATTTGGGGGCTGCTGATTCATGCTGTGTTCAAAACCATGATCTGATACAGGAATCCTTTAAGTGAAACAGGAAGGGACAGAATGGAGGGAAGCAACAGTCAAAGAAGCCGTCTTTACTGTGTTCTTCAAGTCTTCTATCCTTGCCAGAGATGTGCTCAGAGAGTGAAGCAACTCACAAGTAACAAGTTTGTCACTCAAATTTTATTTTGGTTTTTTGAGGGTGGAGAATGTCAGTATAAAGTATCTGTCAATTATAACAAAGTTAATCAGATTAACTTGTAAAGACATGATTGGTCATTGAATACCCCAAATTCTTTGTGTAGTTGTCTTTTAGAAGGATCCTAATATAAGCTCTGACTAGTCTCACTGTATTATAGTACTTATTAGGATATTTGTGAAGAAACATGACTTATTACAGAGATTACCTAATAAGAACTAACAAATGCATCTTTATAAATTTAAAGTACGCAGAAGTTTTGGGAAAGATAACAAAGACGCAGCCTTTTCTTTCCTTTAGAAAATTAAATGAAGCTTTAAATATGTTCAAGGTGAAAATTCAAAAATTAAAAATTCCTTACTCTTTATGTATCTGAAAATTAATGAAATATAGTGCAGGATAATCAGCAAAAGTTTATAAAACTTTAAATATAGTCTAGATGAATACATTGAAGAAGATGAATTACCAGTTTTATAATCTCAAGGAGTCATGCGCAGTTAATGTCATTTCTTTTTAAATGCTACTAATATAACCTTTTATAACTTTTTGAACTTTTCAATTTTGTCCTATATTGATATCTATATGTTTCCCTCTTTATGTATTTATCTGTAAGTGGAACCTAGACACTAGATAGTTGGTGACTACATTAGAAATAGCAAATCTATTTTTACCAAGAACAGTTATTTTAAGCTAAAGTAATTGTTAGCATGGTTTAAGGAAAGATTTGAAGAATTCAGGTATGAAGTTACTGTGATTATTTACATGCAATAGGAGATTCCATTAATAAATCCTGATAAGAAAGGCATGTGTGAATCTTTATGACAATTTTGAAGGACAGGGGACTCAACAAAACCAATGCCTCCGTGTGTGTGTGTGTGTGTGTGTGTGTGTGTGTATGTGTGTTTAACTCTCCAGATGATTTTCATTATAATTTGTTGTTCTTACACACTCTAGGACTCCTTCATCAAAGATCATCCATGTAGCTATGTACAGCTATGTTTGGCAATCAATGCTGAAATGGATAGCTTTCTACCTTTCCATTATGCTACATGTAATGTAAAGCCATTTGTGGAGCTGTTGAAACCCACTTCACTTTTGCTTTGTAATTTCACGTCTTATTCTCTCAATTTGCAAAATGGGATCTATAAGGCTAAGAGTTTCTTTTAAAATCTCAGAATAAGTTCACTTAATTTTGTCTAAATTATTATAAGTTCACTTAATTTTGTCATAATTATTTTATATCATTCACTTTCAGATCTGTAGAATATATACAAGACATACAGAGTTGCACATTATTTTAAGTACTTCATAGACATGCATTATATGAATGTCCAGCATATAACAGTCTCCTGGTTCTGTTCTATCTTTGCCTTCTCTTCTACCACGCATTCAGTTCCTTCCTGTTATTTCACTTCTTCCCGTGGATGGGAAGGTCCATTGACTTGAAGTTCTCTCTGCTCTTCTCTTACTGTGTGAGTCCTCTCTCATTCCTTCTGTCTTTGCACAAGCACTACATAGAGTAATTAAGCCTTACCCACCCACAGCCTAAAAAATAAAACCCCTACGATAGTGCCTCTAATATCCTTTGAGCTGAGTTTTCCTCCGAAGTGCTTCTCATCATCTAGCTTTTTACTCATTTCACAAACACAATCAATCATTTGTGGCCCGTCCACTTCTTGTTAGAGTGTAAACACTGTATTTTGTTTTGCCTTTGCTCTATCCCAACAGCAGAATTGGGCTTGGCACACAGTAAGTAATCACTAATATTTGCCAAGTGATTTAACTTGTGTCATTAGTCATTCCTTGGGTTACATTATCACAAAGAATATGAAAACAACCATTAAATGGTGAAAAATTACATACCACACAAGATGCTTCATATTGCTTCCCCAGTTTAGGCCTCAAAAATGCACTGAAAAATTAACAAAGGCTTTCATTATACACATGAGCAAAATTATTTTTAAAGTATCCTTATAACACATTTTTCCATGAATAGGGCTTGGTGTAATGAAACCAGAATGTCATGCTTCCTTATAGCTTGTTAACAAGCAGGTGTCGGATGCCTAATGGCATTTGCTTTTACACATATAATTCATACACGGGAGAGACTTGAGTCCCTAAAATTTTCCATACCCACTCCCATTCTGAAGACTTTTGCCTAATTGGGTTCTAAATCGCCAATGCTCAGAAGTGTTGCGTTTCTCGTGTGAGTGGTGATATTAAAAACTGAAAAATGAGCAGAGCTGTGGGCCAGGATTTCCAGCACCTATTTTCCTATCGACCAAATTTCTAAAATAACAAGAAAAACCCCTTTACTATTTATTGGCATGGGTGTTAGGCCTGCCCAGGGGAAAGAAATCTCATAAAAAATTATTCCGTCAGGAGCTTTAACCACGGCAACGACACCGGCTGTATCCAAGAAAAAATGGTTAACAAGTGGGCACAGCAGATATTTGCCAAACAGGAGCTGGAAAACAACAGGTCACTAGACTGGGATTATAGCAGGAGAAGGAGGGGGAATTGGACGTGGAGGCAGTATCAGTCATAATTATCTTCCCAGCTCCCCGCCCCCTCTGCCCAGGCACTCTGGCCTCCCACCCCCTCAATAATGTTTATATTTATTCGAAAACTGCCAATCTGCTTGTTGTCAAACTTCAGCGAGATTTTTTTTTAATGCGTGTTTCTAAGCGGGTGCAGAGGACCGGCGTTCCACCCCAGAGAGGGAGCTGGCTGCAGGCTGCGGCCTCGGAGGCTGCGGTGGCTGCGGTGGCGGTGGTGGCGATGACCCGGCGACCCCGAGCGCTCCCAGCCCAGGGCGCCCTCGGGCCCTCCGCGCCCCTCACCTGGTTTGCCGCCACAGGAAGGTCTGGATGGGCAGCGGGATGCCGCGGCCGCCGTCCTGCTCCTGGCCCTCGGAGCTCTTCCTCTTCACCATGATGGTGGCTCCGGGGAGTCCTACCGCAGAGCCCAGCGCGGGCTCCTCGCCGGCCGCCGCCGCCTCCTCCTGGCGCTGCTCCCCCCAGCTCTCATCCCCTCCTTCCCCGAGGCAGAGCCCGCTCTCCCCGCAGTGGGCACCCGGCTCTCTCCCCTTTCCCCAGCCCTCCCCGCGCGCGGAACATGGCTGCGGGAGGAGGGGAGGGCCGGAGGAGCGGAGCGGCGCGGAGGGGGATGCTCGCAGCAGCCGGCCGGCCCGCCGCCCCCGCGCCTTGCTTTCAGCACCTCCCACTGTGGACAGCGGCCCGCGCTGGGCGGCCCCGCCGCGGAACAGAGCCGGGGGCTGGGGCAGCAGCTGCGTGGTGGTCGCCGGAGTCCACGCTCCGCATGGCACGCTCACACCAGTGCCCTGCGCGGCCTCTTCGGCACCCAGGGTTCTGCTGGCTCCCCTCGGAGCTGCTCCCCAAGAGTGTCCTCTGTCCTGCTTCCTAACCTCTGAAGCCGGAGGACTGTGGCCCTTTGGGGAGGAGGAGCTTTGGAGAGCCGCAGAGCAGTCACTAACTCTGGCATCATTCGCACCTCTTTCAAGGAGGTCAGGAGTCCACCTCCGGGTTTAGCAGGAAGAAAGCAGGGGAATCATTAGAAATGGAAATCAAGGAGAGAGGCAAGCTTGGCAAGTTAAAGGAAGCTGAAAAGTTTTCTACATGAGAATTTATTTTATAAGGGCAACCACAAAGAAGTTAACCTAGCTTGATTTACCCTAGCAGGGATGGAAAGTTCCCAGGCTAACCAGTGTGGGCTTCAGCTAATTACAAACTGAGAGGAAATGTTTGTGAGGAAACATGGTTTATTATAGGTCATGGAACGCCCCTTGGTGCTCTTCTTTATTCCAATAATAGCTGCCATTTTCCTTAGTTGTAATAAAATTCATACATAATTAATAGCTATGTTCTTTTAAAACGGATTACCTCGCATTAAAAGAACTATGGGTGAGGTGGGGGTGAAACAGCCTGATTACAAAACCAATGCTGTAGATTTATCTTCCTGCAAACATTCAAAATAAATGTAGTCATACACCTATTTGAACAAAGATACTGCTGTAAGACATGAAATGAAGAATCAGACCCTGGACCTTTATCTCAACAGATAGCAAATAATGTTCCCTGCGTGATTAACAATGTGCACATTTACTCCAAATAAAGACAACTCTGTCACATATTTCAGACATAGAAATAAACCTTTCACATCCTTTCTTGAAGTCAACTTTTAATATGAATCTCAAAATAAGTAATTTTTAAAGATGATATCTTGCTATGAAGCCTAAGGTTGCTTCAGACTCCCAGCTATCCTCCTGCTTCATCCTTGCAAGTGCTGGGATTACAGATGTGCACACTCAGCAAAATATACATCTTGAAAAAGTAGAGGCTAAGTATAATTTATTCAATACCTTTTATTATTAGAGAAAGAGCTGGAAAAGAAACTTCCTAACAGTGAAATGAAAACTTCCTTTGTGTGTGGCTTACATGAAGGGAATGTGGAGAATGTCTGGCAAGAGCCATAAAGAGCACCACTCTGGAGACTAGAGAAACAATCCAAGAGCTCCTAAGTCAAGGTCATGTCAGTAGGTCCAAGTAAGGGTGCGAGTTTTAATGATATTTCAGAGATAGAGATAATAGTATTTGATGGTCAAGTAGGCATGAGGAAAGAAAAATAGCAGTTGTGAAGCATCAAAGACTTGAGCCAGGTGGGTTTGACTTTAATCCACTGTGTATTAGATATATGCCAGGTGAACTCTGTACTTTGATATCTTTATAAGAGCTAATGTCACTTTCCATTCCTGAATACCCATAAAGATAATGATGAAATGTTAACACTTGAATCTCTCATCAATGCTGTCAACAGAAAATATCAACTGAAGCTTCACGTTTTGAGCAACTGAATAAATGTTGAATTCATTTGAAGATTAAAAAATCTACAGGGAGAATAAAACACGTTTTTGTTTTCATGTATGTGCATAGGAACATTTGTGAGTTTTTCTTGATTCTTTACTGGAAATTCCAATAATCATCACCAAGAAAGAACTAGAAAGTGCATACAGAGTTCAGGAATGTTAACAAGGTGGAAAGACAAATTCTGTGGTTAGTACTATATAAAAAGTAGCTGAAACAACTGACAACCTCATTCACTCTCCCAGCTCTCCCACCCCGTCTCTCCTCCTAGCGTGGGCACTAGCCCATTTCCTCTCTTGGCACTCCAGACCTCTGGACTACCCTCTTGGCCCAGACTCCCCACTGCTTCCTGATCCTTTGTACCCAGGCCAACCCCGTTCCACAGTCCAGTCTCCTGGAGCCCTCAAAGCCTGGTCCCTCCCCCACCTTGCCTTTGCACACCTGAGACCAGCCTTCATCCCTGGCTGTCCCACCCCCAACCTGGATTCCTGAGACCAGCCTCCTTCCCTGACTGCCTGAGAGTCCTGAATCCTACCTCTACCTGGAAACCCTCCCAAATTGTACTGTGCCTGCTGACTAGAGGGATCCAGACCTAAGGAGAAAGCCTAGAGCATCTGATCCTCATTTGACTTGGGCCTCTGTTGGAACTCCGGAGCAGCAGGATGAAAGCCATCTGGCCCCTCCAGTATAAAATCAAACGAGAGAACCTGAAGCCTAGATCAACCAGCTTTTCATGCCCAACAAGTAATCCACAAAGGCACATAAAGTTTACAAACAGAAGCAGGCCTAAACTCAACAAAGGAAGGCTTGAGTGTCACACAAGAATCAGAAACTACAAAAGAAATCCACATGTCAAAGTCACAAAGAAAAAATAATAACATGAAAAACCGAATAATATATCCCCACTAAGTACCAACAGTCCTGTAGAGGAGTACAATGAGAACCCCTAGAGGTAACACAGGACATGGAACTCAAAAGAACAATTATAAACATGATAAAAGAATTCAGTGAATTTAAAGAACACGAAAACAAAGAAATCAAAGAACTGAAAGAAGATAGGGATAAACGTCTTAATGAATTCAGAAAAGAGTTGAAAATATTGAAGAATACTCAGGATGAAATGAAAAGAAAGTGAAACACTCAGTAAGCCAATTAGAAAAGAAAGGAGAAAGTCTCACCAATAGGATGAATGAAATGGAAAACAGAATATCAAGATTGGAAATTAAAATGGACGAATTAGACCCCTCAAGCAAAAATTATGAAAAATTTAAGAAAACACAATAATGGAATACGAGGGAATTGTGTGACACCATAAAAAGACCAAACTTATGAATCTAAGGCATATAGGAAGAAGACTCTCAGGATAATGGTATGGACTGGATCTTCAACAGGGTTGTAGAAGAAAACTTCCCAAAATTAAGGAAAGATATGCCCATAGAACACCAAATAGTTAGGACCAGAAAAGAAATTCTCTATGGCACATCATAGTAAAAACACTAAATGTACCGAGCAAAGAGAGAATACTGAAAGCTGCAAAAGAAAAACAAGTGACATATAAAGGAAAACCCATCAGAATTACAGCTGACATTTCAGTGCAAAGTGTGAAAGCCAGAAGAGCCTAGACCAAAGTATTCCCAGTTCTAAATGACCACAGATGCCAACCGGGATAACTTTAACCAGCCAAAATGTCTATTATAGTCAAAGGGGAAAGAAAAATCTTCCATGACAAAAATAGCCTTAAAGAACTCATGTGCACAAAACCAGCCCTTCAGAGAGTTCTTGAAGCAATACAAAGAGCTGAAGAAAGGAACAACTGTACCCAAGGGGTAACAGAAGGAAACTTAATGATGGTGTAACTGAGGAAACACACAGTTACACCAAGAATGCAAAGAGAAATCAAAACGACAGGAATTGATACACATCTTTCATTAATAACTTTAAATATCAATGGACTGAACTCCTCAGTCAAAAGACACAGACTAGTTTAACGGATTAAGAAACAAAACCTATCTTTCGTTGTTTGCAAGAAACCCATCTTACTTTCAAGGACAGGCAGCACCTTAAGGTGAAAGGATGAAAAAAAATATTCCAAGCAAATTGTACTAAGAAAAAAGCAGGAGTTGCAATTCTAATTCTAAAACAAATCAGAAGAGATAAAGAGGGCCACTTCACTCTGATCAAAGGAACAATTGACCAAGAAGATATTACAATTGTGAACATATATTCACCTAACTCTGGTGCATCCAACTTCATAAAAACAGCACTGCAGGACTTTAAGACATAGATTAATCACAACTCATTAATAGTATAGGGGATTTCAATACCCCATTGTCTCCATTACATAGGTCAACAGCAGAGAGAATTAACAGACAGACATCTGAATTAAACAATACCATACATCAAATGGACCTAACAGACATCTACCAAATATTCCACCCATGCACCAGAGAATATATTTTCTATTCAGTGCCCCATGGAACTTTCTCCAAAATCAACCACATACTGGGGCACAAAGTAAGCCACAACAAACACAAAAAGACTGAAATAATTCCATGCCTTCTATCAGACCACAATGCAATAAAGCTTAAAATCAACTCTGGAAGAAATCCTAGTAACTACATGAACACATGGAGATTAAACAATAAACTCCTGAATGGTGAATGGGTCAAAGAGAAATTAAGAAAGGAATAAAAGCATTCCTGGAACTAAATGAAAAGGGCAATACACACAACAAAACCTCTGGGACACGTTGAAAGCAGTTCTTAGAGGGAAGTTAATAGCTCTAAGTGCCTACAATAAAAAGTCAGAAAGAACACACATAAATGACTTAACATTGCAACTCAATACACTTGAAAAGCAACAACAAATGAATCCAAACCCAGCAGGCAAGAAGAAATAGCAAAAATCAGAGCAGAAATTAATGAAATAGAAACAAAGAAAACAATACAAAGCATCAACAAATCCAAGGGCTGGTTCTTGGAAAAGATAAACAAGATTGGCAGAAACTTAGCCCAGTTAACCAAAAGAAAGAAAGAGCACTTCCAAATCAACAAAATCAGAGATGAAAGGGGAAACATCACAACAGACACCAACAAGATCCAGAGCATTATAAGGGAATTCTTTAAAAACCTATACGCTACTAAATTTGAAAACCTTAAAGAAAATGGATGGGTATCTAAAAGCATTGGAATCACCAAAACTAAACCAAGAAGAGATCAACAGCCTAAA